CCGGACTGCCTCGCATGAGGAGGGACCACCTCGATGGCCTCCTTCCTCAAAAGAGTAACTACTTCTTGTTCCATGACCAGAGCCTGCTCGGGGCCCACCAGCATGGCTAGGCTTCCGAAACCCCGAGAGCGGGCACTGGATCTGGTGGTTAAGGAAATAGATAGGGACTCGCCCGTCTACATTCCCTCCACCGGATCCATACGCGAAACCCACGAGCACAGCCGCCGCTCCGCCTCGGCGAAAGCGGGGCCGGCGCCGCGAGAAACGCTAGTGAAAGCTCTCTCCTCAAAGAGAGCCCCCTGAGAGCGAAGCAAGGCAGTAACAAACGCTACCAAAATGGCCGTCAGCTCCCTTTTTTTTCCGAGAGCTGACTCTGCGTGCTTGCTCGCAAGCAGACAACAAATAAACTATGTGTATCCCCACCCGTAAAATAACGCGGGCAGGGAAGAACACACAGCCTGAACTCTGCCTGCCCTCGCCTTAGTGTCTGGTTTTGTCTTGCTTTAGATTTCGTGACAGACAACACTAAATAAGACTCACAAACAGATATCAGACTGACACACACACACACACAGAGCGCTTGCTGAATGACAAAAGCTGACGCTGGTCTCACCGCACGTGCTTTTATAGTTTCCTGGTCATTACGTCACCCGCCGTGACGTCTCGCCCATCTATTGGTCTGATTACACACGAGATTCAGAGCCCGTCACGCTGAAGGGCGTTCCCCTAGCGTTTCTGACGCAGCTCGAGTTCCTGAAGAGGAACTTTTAGTATGCTACTAAAGCAGTAGCCTCAAAAGTACACCTTTGTATCTTAACTGCCCATAAAACATAGCATATTAGTATTTTAAGGTACTCCCTCCTAATAAGCACCCGCTATGAAGTGACTAGGGACAAAGTTGTACCTTTGAATGTACTGCCCAAGTAACAAGCTGTTGCACTTTTTTCTGGTAGTTTTTTTAAGAACAGAAACAAAATAATTTTTAAAGGGATAGTTCACCCCAAATTGAAAATTTGTCATTAATTACTCACCCTCATGTTGTTCCAAACCCGTAAGACCTTCGTTCATCTTCGGAACACAAGTTAAGATATTTTTGATGGAATCTGAGAGCTCTCTGACCCTCCCATAGACAGCAAGGGTCCTTACACGATAAAGGCCCAGAAATAGCATGTGACATCAGTGATATCAGGGGTTCAACCGCAATTTTACAAAGCTATGAAAATACTTTTTGTGCGCAAAAGAAAAAAAAACTACTTTATTCAACCATTCGTCTCCTCCTTTTTTCTTTTTCTTTTGCACTCAAAAAGTATTCTCGTAGCTTCATAAAATTACGGTTGAACCCCTGATGTCACATGGATTATTTTACCGATGTCCTTGCTATGTTTCTGGGCCTTGATCGTTCAAGGATCCTTGCTGTATATGGGA